GCTCGTTCTCTTTACTATAAAATTATTAGTGTTTCTTTTATTTTATACATTGTTTTATACGCTATATTGACTTTATGAGAACCTAAAAAATGCCCAAGTTGCTATAGCTGTATATGGCAACAACGGATGTAGATAGGGATCAACATTAAGAGCTTTGGTCATGGGATTTTTAGTGGGTTAAGCATTTAGGAGGAAATACAATCAAGTAAGTATGATCACAGGATTCTTTGACAGCTGACCTAAAAAGCAAAGCAAAAAAGACGCCATAGAGGAACCTGATTTGGGCAAAGGCAGCTTTTTTAGTCTCTACCGGCCGCTTCTCAGTTCTCTAAATAAGGTGCCAAGGAAAATCATTTTGACCTGCATGGGGGGTCAACCACCATTTCTTGGAACATGACGGCAGTCTGTCATTATTCAGGCAGGCAGACAGCTCCTTCTTTTCTTTCTTTCTGTAAAGTGATTTCTTTAAACAGCAGTTTTAAAATCCTCCACATGAATCCCTTTCTTCTGTGAAATGGGTTGTACCCAACACCTTTTTTTAATATGAAAAAATCAAGCATCATCACTGATTTAATTATGTATGCTTGAGCTGCAGGAATCCAATTCATTATCAAACAGAAAACATATAGAACAAATGAGATGCAAACAGCAAACAACAAATATACTGTTAAAAATAGTAAAGCCAGTCATTCAAGAGAAAAGCATTTTACAAGAATCCTCTTTAAAGAGACATAAGCATTCAATAAACTGGTGAAAAATTCCTCCAGGCGTTTGGAGGGAAAGGAAAGCACAATCACGTCCTTTCTGATGTGTTCGGGTTATGAGAAGTGCTGAAGATCACTTCCTGGCTAACACAGTGAGCGCTCAGAGAAGGTCCTTAATTGTATTTGTTCCACTTGATGGTCATAAAGGAACCGTGATCCCTGATTCACCATAATGTCAGCAGGTTTTTTGGGAGTCATTCTACTCTTTAGACCCCTCACTGCCTTTTTTGAGTTTGGATCTTTATGTTGCCCTGTGCAATCTAAGTGTGCATACAGAGAACATTAATATAACATGGGATAAAATACACGTTGTAAAATAAACGGCATAATTAATTCAGCCCTAAGTCGTAATGTCATGATTTATTTCAATCAGAGGTGAAAAGATTAGTCCATTCATTCATTTGATTTCATTCTAAACTTTCATGCCAGTTAGTTATGTGCCAGCTATTCATCCTTCTTTCTGACCTTCATAAGAGCAAGTTATATATCATCGAGTTTATGTTTCTAGCTTAATGGAGCATACTCTTCTAAAACATAAGACCATGCAGGAGAAAAGTTGTTTATGGGAAAATAAACCACTGGTGAAAACGATCTAATTAACAGAGGAAATGTTTGACTTAATTTTCACTAAATAATGTAGACTTATGGTTGGGTTGGGTCCATTTTTGACTTCAGAAAAGCTTTGGCTCATCATGACAAAGATTTACAAAGTTTCAGAAAACATTTCTCACAAATTTTTGTTTTATATTCCCTTAATAGCTTAATGTAGCTGCAGTAGAGTTGTCTTTTGCACATCCATGAGCGTAGGTTTGAATAAGCACCATAAGGACATGTCCCTACCAACATTTTGGACCGACCTACTTGCCCTACCAACAATTACATGTTAAGAACATGTTTATAATTTACAATACAGCTTTGTTGCAGCAGTAGAGGAGTTCTGGATGGAGAATATTGACGAGAACATGTTTGATCTAAAATGCAAAATGTTTTTTTTTTATTTTTTTTTTTTACAATTTTGGTATAACTACTCTAAGTGGATCGCTCTGTGAGCTAAAGTCATGTTTTAGAGTCTCTATACTCCAGTTAACGATTAATTGATATAATTTGTTTAATTGTTGACACTATTTCAATAATTGATTAATTTGATGAATTGTTTCAGCCCTAAATAAAATACATGAAGGGATTAAACAGAGTAACTACAGCCTAGATGTACAACTTGTAGAGCGAAGTTAATATATTAAATGCTCAGTGTCAGTTCCTCTTCTAGTTTCAGTGCTCATGTAAATACAATACATTTATTTGGCATGCCTTGAATCTATTTTTTCGTGTTGTTTCCTGATACAAAGAGAACATTTAAAAGATAAGGGTGGGTTTTACCTCTGTTTACCTCTGCACGATACTATATCTTCAAAATAAAACGTATAAATCCACATATAACAGACATATTTAGACTATATTCTGTTAAATAGGCACAGATTTACCTACTGTCTTAGTCGCTGGTAATTTTAAATGCAAATCTTTTCAAAGTGGAAAAAAGTCCTCATTCATCATTTGATAAACAGCCTCTAGTGCAGGCATCCCCAAACTCAGTCCTCAAGGCCCCCTGTCCTGCAGGTTTTAGAGGTTTCTTTGCTCCAGCACAGCTGATTTTAATTGAAAGCTGATTAACAGGCTTTTGGTCTACTGCAATCATTATAATCAGCTGTGCTGAAGCAGAGAAACATCTAAAACCTGCAGGACAGGGGGCCTTGAGGACCATGTTTGGGGATGCCTGATCTAGTGTATGTAGTGCTTATAAAATTTGTATAAATGTAGCAACAAATGCTGATTTTCTCTTTGAAACAAAATACACCCTGATTTTCATGTTAAGCATAAAAAAACGAGCATGCATATTTTTACATAGGACCAATGACATCAGACCAAAAGTGTCTCACCAAAGTTGAAATCAAACCTATGCCTTTGTGCACATCCACAATATAATGCTCATATTACAACACTTCCTAGTTAAGCTCTGTAGGATGGTGGTCTGGTGGCTTCATTGTTATGAGCAAGACAGGTTTGAAAACATTTGTGTTTCATAGCAAAGTAAATTCCTGCTGGTAGTAGCTATCAGTGAACTTCTAAACTATGGTCATAAACTGATCGACATAGTAAGTAGCTAGATAAATGTTCCTATGTATTGCTTTACTGTCATGTGAGCCTGTGCAGATTTATGAGGAAAAAAAATCCACTCTAACCTGCAGTATATAAGATTGCAATGGCATGAGAATACAACATACTTTAAGAAAACAATGGTGAAAAGTATGTGCATTTAGTTTGATAAATGATTCTAATGAAATCCTAAACACACCAATGAGCCGAAACATTACCCCAACCCACCTTTTATTGAGTAGGAGCCTGTGCCCCCCCATTTCTTTGACCATTCAGATTATAATTTTAGAGAATGTCCTCATTTGTCCAGTTGGACACTAATGGATGTTTTTGGTTGTGGATTGATTTTATTGCACTCAGACCTGATGAGAATGGTTTCTAAGTGAACATCTTAGAAACTTTATTTGGTCCGCTTATAAGCTAAAAAGGTTGATCAAAAATTGAAATAATTCCAAGCAAACAATCCAGAGCAGCAAAGGGAGCAGTTTCAGAAACTGTCAGATTACTTTAAATCCAATCAATCTTCTTCCTGGGAATCAAATTAGCCTTCCTCTTCACCATACCTCCACACAGATTCCTCTGTTTCTAATCTAATTGCATAAACACCCACAGGGCATCTCCTCTACCTGCATTTGCCGTCATAAAGATTTTAACACAACAGCGCAACTATCAGCAGTCCCCGCAATCTGGCAAATATTTGCTCTCGCTTTCTTCGACACATCCTCTAATAGCTGCATGCTTCAAAACAAATAGGTCCCTGCTCCTTCTCGCCCCCCATCTCATCCCGCTATACTGTCTCAACTGCTAAATCAAATATTCATGTTTGGGTGGGTGGGGGTGGGGGGTGTTTAATACATTGTTGTTATTATCCGAGAAACCAGTCAGGCGGTTAATTATTGCTGTAAAAGGAAGATCAAGCCAGATTATAAAGCTAACAGGATTTATAGCATCCAAATTTCCCTTGCTCTATGTTACCAAGATAAAGTTCTGCCAACGGATGGAGAGATATAAAACCCTCCAAAGAGAAGTGAGGACAGGAAGTGTTTTGAGAGTTTAGAGTGCCCTCTTGATGGTACTTTACTTTTATGGGTTGAATAATAGAACCTGCATGCTTGTTCCATTGGCAGATTAGGCCACGGTTGGTGTTGCTGCTGTGTCAGTGGAGCCGTGGCTGTGGGTTGGTGTCCTGCTCGCTGCACCTGCTTTTCAGGCAGGTCTAAACGGAGGTGGGGAACTAAAATAGTTCCCTGGTGAGTCACAGGAGAGAATATACCTACAGGGTGGTTAATCCCCCCTTTGCAGTTCAAAAACAAGTGTCTTGTTTGTCAGATCCCATCTTCTTGGTCAGCAACGTTTCAGGCAGTAGTGCAAACCGGAATACACTCTTGGGTGTGTTAGATGGAGTTCAGCTTTGACTGTATCGCTTAAGGCGTTGCACTTTTTGTAGTCTAATCTCTTTCTGCTGCAAGGCAGCATATGGTAACAAAATGTAGCCAGAGGAAATCTATATAATCCTTCATAGCAAGCACAGCGGAAATCAGGGAGGTCCTCAATGCAAACTCAAATTTGATCTTTTGGTCAGATACATTAAAATTATGAGATTGGAATACTCTAGTTTCTTAGTGACATGAGCTTTAAGTTTAAAATAAGGTATTTTTTCAGTGTATCTTTTACGACTTTGTGTTTTTTTATTCATCATATTCCTTCACTTTCAACTAGGCACATCTTTGGGCAAAGGCAGAGTCAGCGACCCTCAAGAGGGTATAACAAGTGAGTGCAGATCAATATAGCTAGTATGTGTTAAATTTCAAGGTTGTTTGATGTCTGGACAGGTTCACAGGGAACAGGTTCAGGCCTGACACAGAAGCTGAGTCACCTCGCTCCTCATTTTTTAGCATCTCCATAACAAGAGATGGTGCAAGCCAGATTAAATATCATTTACTTTTTTTATCCCTTTTTTTTTTTCCCCTGCGCGAGCTTTGTCCCTTTTTTGAAGTGTGTGACAATCAGTAAATCCAGCTGAGTCCTTCCTGTTTGAAAAGAGCTGCTTAAGGAGAGATGAAAAGCAACTCGAAGGATGCCAAAGGATTTATACAAAAACATCTTTTATTTTTAAAAGTGTCATAAAAAAATGTGAAAATATCAAAATCATTCAGCATCACAGCTTTCACTGTTAATGTACAATCATCTCAGTCACACTTACATTCAATATATAAAAATATGTATAAAAAAGGCACCCTTTGGCTGAAAAATACATAAGGTTGCAGAGTAAAAGTGAGGCACTTGTTCTGCTATATCAGAGTGCTGGCCAGCTGTTTCTACAGACTGTGCAAAAGTTAATGATACTCTCCTTACATTTAAGTTTGCACTTGTTCCCTATGTAGCAATGGCTTTAGTATTACATTGGTTTACAGTCACACTGCCAATAATATGGCAGCTTTTGGTTAATGCTTGTGTAAAAAAGTTGGGACAAACACTGAAGAGATAACATTGTAAAGGCCTGGAAAACTTTCTGAACAAGCAGAAAGTGCATGAAAAGCACAGGTAGGTTAGTATATTCCATAGGAGCTCAACAGATTGCAATCAGGAGCGCTGATTGGAAAAAGAAAAAAAAGAAAAACGTGATATCTGAGCTATTTCTCAGTTTGAAATGAATTGGACCACCTGTGCGTTCTGCGATAGCTGTTGTAATTCCCTGACACCTTTCCTGCAGTTTTTTGGGGGAAGAAAAAAAAGCTACTAAAGGCACAGAAATGTATTCCCAGTTCAGTGAGCTGTACAACAGCCAGATTCCTCATGCTTGTGCAGAAGAGACATCCTGGAGAAGGTTTTGGAGCAGTTCTTGCATTGGTATTTTTTCACATCCGAATGGGTCTGTAGGTGAGCCCTAAGGTTGGACCTGTCTGCAAACGCCCGGTTGCAGTGTGGGCAGGAGAAAGGCTTCTCGCCTGTGGATGCAGAAATGAAAACAAAGGCTTAATGAGGATGCATTAACATCAAGCTCTGAGTTAGTCTTATTCAAGTAAAACAAGATAAACTAAAATAGCAAACTTTTTCCCCCGTTAGTTTTAGTAATTCGACTAGATCAAGCTGCTTTCTTAACCCAAAAGGCCTGAATCTTAATCATCCACCCACTCACCAGTGTGCGTCCTGATGTGCCCCTGGAGCAGCCATGGTCTTGAAAAAGCTTTCCCGCATATCTTGCAAACGCAAGGCAAGGTGTGAGTCCTGATGTGCATTTTAAGAGCTCCTAAACTGACGTACTCCTTCTCGCAGTATTTACAGCTGAATGATTTTCTCGCCTGGGCATCGCAGTGCAGCTGCTTGTGCTTCAGCAGTCCAGAGTAGGTGGAGTAGGATTTGCTGCACAGAGCGCACTGAAACTTCTCCACATCCACCCCGCTGGGATCCGTCAGTTTTGCGAGCATCTGCTCATCTTCATCGCTCCTGGGGCTCTCTGAGCCGCTGTGGTCCTTGGAGGAGGTGTCAGACAGAGACGATGGGTATCCGGAGATGGGGGAGAGGTCGCTGGGCAGCGGGGACAGCGGCAGGCTGCTGGTGGTCCACACGGTGATGGGGCTGTAGGCGGGCGGGCTCAGGATCTCCGGCTGCGGGATGACGGACAGGGGGAGGCCCTTGTAGAAGTGCGGGGTGATGAACACTGGAAGAAAAAGCGTGGGGTGAAAACTGTTACCTGACTGAGTGAGGAGCACAGATTTCAGAAATGGTCTGGCATATTTAATTAAAAAAAAGAAATGTGTGTATTAGAAAAAAAAAACTTTACAAAGTTCCTTTAAACTTTAAAAAATAAATAATCTTCACCTGTTGGGCTTTCGAGCTCACTGTAATTTGGCTTCTTAGTGGAGTTTATGTGCTTCTTGACCAGAAAAGAGCGTGGCATCTTGGAAAACAAGAGGGTAACTTTCGCAAACTTTTACTCTACCAGCAAACACTCTGCAAGGCTTAAAGTTTGTTGCGTAAAGACGGAAATCCTTATTGCTTAAGTCCAGCGGAGTGTCATAGTGCGTCGCTGCGTTGTTGGAAACAGTGCCGCGGGTCGTTGCTGTAAAGAGCTGTAAATACTGCCCTATCAGGTGCATAGGAGGAGCCATTCGCTTTCATTTACATATGCTGGGAGCTCAAACCAATTAAATCTCGCCTGCTTTCAGCCTATAGGGGCGCATAGCTTTAAACTGAGACAGGTCCGCTGAGGTTAATTCTGGTAGGATACAGGTGCTTTCTGCACAACTTCTTTCATGTTTTCATCTGACCGCTCAAACATACTAATTATAGAAAAAGTAAGGCCCTGGGATTGTTTGTAGGCAGAGCATCACTGCGTTATCACGCGTGATTTCATTATTCTCTCGAGGTGCATAATCTGGGAATGCACCTATAAAGCAGAGGCGCCACTAAGGGGGAGAACGGGGGCCATTGGGGCCAATAGTTGGTCTAATCCCTCTAACCAAGCGCTCAAACGCATATGCTTAATATTTTTATACAACACAGAAAAGAAAAACTGTAAATAGTTTCAACATTAATGTCTGTCTATCTATCTATCTATCTATCTATCTATCTATCTATCTATCTATCTATCTATCTATCTATCTATCTATCTATCTATCTATCTATCTGTCTGTCTATCTATCTATCTATCTATCTATCTATCTATCTATCTATCTATCTATCTATCTATCTATCTATCTATCTATCTATCTATCTATCTATCTATCTTTGAGTGTCTACATTTATTTATTTTATTTTTGGGATTTTTAGTGCCTCCATTTTTAACAATAACTGGCTTTCACTCATAGCTAAACCCTGAAGGATGCTATGACTGTTTATTTAGCCCCAAATCAGGAGCTACACATTTTAAAATCATTGGAAACTTTGGTGTTAAATGTTCTTATATTTAAAACCACAGTATTTTGGTTTGAAAACAGTAACTTACAGATGGTTGATTTGATGCAAATGTAATTCAAGGATCAAAGATCTTTTTATGTTATTATTTTAATACTAATTGCCCATTTGAAACCTACTCAGCAGCTCCTTCCTCTATGGCAATAAACTTCGAAATTATATTTTTTTTAATTTTGCTTTATAGTCCAGTGCACCCCCCCCCCCCCATCCCCTACCCCCATTAACCAACAAAACTAAACCTCCCCCCAATACACACGCACACGAGAACTACTTTAAACCATGTCTCCATAGGTATACTTTGATTTCTTCCACATAGAAAGTGTCTTCTGGTTCCATTAGACCCATTAACCAACCCAACTTCAAGGCTACAATCCTCATTGGCTCCGTTCCATCTAGGTGGACAAAGTGACACACCTTCTGGCCTAGACTGAAAAATGGCTTTCCTTTTTGAAATGTAAATCTAAATGTTACCCCTCTCAAGGTCAGCATTATAATCAGATTTATCCTTGCAGCTACTGAACTGGACAAAGAGAGGCAAACTTAGCAGTGTACGCCCCCTTGTGTTGGAGTCAGTTCTTAGGACCGAGGGGATTTTAGGTTTTAGTTGAAAATCTACACTAACAAGTCAATAACTTAGGCTTTGCTGTAAACCGGGTTCAACCTGAAGAATATGAATAGATTAGGTCAACGAATATGAAATGATTTATTATTTCATGGCTTAACTTTAATTGTAAATTGCTTATCCCGTAAAGAAAGAATACATTTAAATAAAGAATACTGTCTCTTACAACTGGTTGAATAAGATTAGAGAAGTGAAGCACATAAGTCCTGGCTGCCTTAGCTGACTTATGTCTTTGGATGGTGTTTCATTTAGCAAGGAAAAATGGTATTTACCTGCAAACAAGCAGAACATTCTGTGCTCTTTTAAGAAAAATGCTTAAAACAACAACAACAACAACCGTACTGCAACCTAGAGAAGCAGATCATGCTTGGACAGGTGAAAGATGCTATCTTGCAGTTTTTATGCTTCACCTCTGTTTCCCCTAACTCCTGTGGTTGCTCTTTTACTGTCAGTGGGAGTTAGAGCAAACAGCAGCCACGACTCACATCATATCAAGTAATCCTGAAAAGCAGAGGCTGCAGATCAGAGGCTCAACAATTATTTAAAAGCTCTTTAAATTCTAGAGCTGCAGTAGGTCATGGTGTGAAAAATGGACTGAATTAAAGTGTGAGCTTCAGTTTCTCTGGTCAAGCACACATAAAAGGTATAGTACAGGCAAGGGTGAGATATCTGCTACACAATCCTTTCACCTTCCTTCATGTTCCAGGAGTTTTATTTTAAATAGATTCCATTGTATTTAGTTTTGAGTCAGTGTCTACTATGCAATATTTTGTTCTAATCTGAAAACATTCAAAACAAGCACCAATATCTGCTGTAAAAAGCTCATTAATCAGGAGGATAAATTATTCACTTTTATGTATTCTGCTTCCCATCTCTTATTTTTTTCTAAACCACTTCTTCTGCCTGGAGTTTATTTATTAGTTTACATTATTACCGCTTTTCCTTTTATTTTTCCTTTAATCCTCCAGTCTATGTAAACTTATGTGGAAGTGCTTGCTCCTACATTGCTATATCCCTTACAGGGCTTTGCAAAAAATCACAGTAAACACGCCACTTAAACCTTTTTCTTATTCAGCTTTTTTTTTAAATCACAAGCATCGCGAAGGTGATGCAGAGTTTTAGACAGAAAGAATAACAAATTAGAAAAGTGTGGAAGGCATGTAAAAAAAAAAAAATATATATATATATGTGGAGATGGTATATGAAAAGCAATTATTAAGTTTAGCTACAGGTTCACAGGTAGATTACGTGTGGACTCTAACTGGACCATTCTAACAAACCATGCTCTACACTATTCTATGCTGTATCCTGTAAATGGCTTGTGGCAAAGTAGCAGGACTCTATGTGGCTTTTTTCCAACAATAATATTCTTTACTCCCCTCTTCCATTATAGCCACACTGGTGGCTTGCAGAAGTAATTGCTATCCTGGGTACAGTTTGTCCTACTTGAGCTCTAGATCATCTGCAGAGTTACCACTTTCCTCTTAGTTACGTATCGGATAAATATTGGTCAGTTTAGGAGAATATCCACTTATTAGTTCCTGAGCAGATTTGCCATACCTTTTCTTCTTCGATGATAGGTTGGACTCTTCTGTGTGATTTACTCTGCGATATACTCTAAACTTGATTAAACCTTATCCCTGACCCCTCTGTGTTATTCCTTGGTTTTCATGACAGTTTGTTCACTAATCTTATCTAACAAACTTCCCATTGATGGTGTATTAATCGCAAATTACACACAAATTCACTGTATGCATTGATTACCTTATATTTGCAGGCAATTATTCTTAGAAATAATTTCTAAAAAGATCAGAACTAACAGATTTCGTCCTGCAACCTTGCATTACTTTACTTTTTATTTGCATCTTGATTATTTTAAACCTAAAAACAAAAGAGCACAAAATAACCAATTGCTAAAGCCAACTTTGGAATAAATGCTCAAGTCCACTCTTTTTTTTTCTTAAAACAATCTAAAGGTTTTTGAAATTGACAATTTCACCAGCTGTGTGGTCATTTGGTCTTTAGATGCCATTGTATTTTGTTGCATTTATATGTGTTAGAACAAAGTCCAAATATCTTGGGGCTATAGATACACGAAATATAATGTTGCTTATTACAGCATTAATCCTTACTTGTTTGCTGCAAAAGATACTGATAGCAGATGACCTGTTCGGTAAGAAAAAACACTATCCCTAACAACATTATAATTGCTCATGGTAAAGGTGACCTCAAGAACAGTTGTTGGGGGCCAATCTACCAGAGCAGCATCAAAACCTACAGTAAATACTAAGCCTTAATTAAGATTGTTGGATGAGACATAGAAACACACATACATCTATTTTTTTAATTGGCTGCTCTATGATATTTAGGCTCAGGCTGGTGAGCAACTTCAAAATGTCAGTTGATCTGATGTGGTGGAAACAGCGAGATGCTGCAGCAGGAAGATGACAGTATGGGAAATGAGAGGCACCTGGTCATTGTGCCCAGCTGCTCCCAAAGCCTCACGGCAAGCTCAGATGCGATATTGAGAGACTGGACACATTCACTTTATATGTGCATACGGGTGTCTGTGTGTGTGTGTGGGTGTGTATATTCAGTGACAGTGACAACGCAAAATAAGTGTCAGACTGTGCATCACTCAGAAATACCCCCTCCCTTTGCTTTTTGTCATTCGGGAGAGGTTCTTTTTTTTACATGCCATTTTTTGAAGCTTGAGAGCTATAAACTGAGGACATTAAATTATACTGCTTTAATTTGGATCTTTATTTAGCAGGATGGTGAAGTTGAAATCATATCCTAAAACCTTAAATGACCCCAACAAACATCAGTTTTTACATAACCTTTAAGCCAGTCCTTATTTGACCTTTTTAGACTTAACCCTTCTGTCAAACGATTTATTTGGCCTAAATCATAAGATTTGTTAATAGTTACAGTCATGGGCGGTTCTAGGCGGGGGCCAACGGGGGCCAGTGCCCTTGTAGATCATGTCCTGGCCCCTGTTATGGCCCCTGTACCGAAGACATAATACTTGAAGAAATTCTAATGATGATATGGAACAGGCATGGTTACTGATAGGTCCTTTGGATCTATTTCAGTAATTTTTTCTTTAAAAAAAATTATGTTTTATTAATTATTTAAAAACAATAAGTTGATAGCTTCAGTGATATTGAGACAGGATTCCAGTTTTCTTCTGCTAAATGTTTTTTTCAAAACAAATAAAAAAAATACTCTAATTTTTACAGCTGAATTTGTAAAATTTGAATTTGTTCAAATTCTCATTTTATAGAAAAATGTAATTTTAATTTTAATTTAGAAATATGTAAAATTCCTAAATTATGAATGTATATTGAAAGATAATTCCAAATAATGGCTTTATTTGATCTTTTAGATATTTATATAGTGACAATTTTTTGAGTTTCTTTTTTGCTATGCTAACGGATTTTTATTTTTATTTTAACGATAATCCAAATGAAAAGTTTTAAGCCAAAAATAAATATTTTAAGTTGGAAGACATAATTTCAATTAA